CCCCCCCCCCCCCCCCCCCCCCCCCCTTAAAAAAAAAAAAAAAAAAAAAAAAAAAAAAAAATCCCCCAGCAGCAACAAAGCAACTCGCAAACAAATTGGCTGGAGTACCCCCACCGGAGCGCTCCAGCCGCCACCTCGGCTGGGAACCGTCCCACTGTCCCGCCACGGTCCGACTGTCCCGCTGCCATCCCAGCGCCGGGGTCACGGCGAAGCCCCCTGTGATTTGGGGGGGGTGGAGCCAGGCGGGTGCCGCTGCCCCCGCCAGCTCCCCCTCCCGCCCCCCCAAAAGGCTCAGCCCCCCGCTCCCAACCCTGGCAGCCCCAGCAGGGTTGGGGGGGACGGCGGCAGCCCCCAGGTACGGCTGAGCCCCAGGGCAGGCCGGCCGGCTGGGAGCCGTGGTGGGTCTCCGGCAGCTCCGGTGGCGGCTGTGGATCTGCCCTTGCTGTCCCCAGGACTGCAGCTGACTTTGATTTTTCCGAGCGCCTCATAACTCACCTCCCTCCGAGCTGCGGGAGCTGTGCTGAGCCGAGCCGAGCCGAGCCGAGCTGTGCCACGCTAACTGAGCCGAGCTCGCTGAGCTGCACTGAGCCAAACTCAGCTGAGCCGAGCTGCGCTGAGCTCTTCCCAGCTCCCACGCGGCCGCCCACACTCCTCGCCCTACGCAGTGCTCCCCAAAACGCACGCCGGGGGCTCTTGCTGTGCCCGGAGGGGCATGCAGGACAGGAGAGGGAAGGGGCTCGGCTGCGAAACCTCACTCGCCAGGTACCCGCAGGTTGAGCCACGGGTGCCAGGGCTGCGGGTCCCCGTCCTGGGAGCCCCATGTGCTTGCCCCATCGCGCTGGCACATGCCGGCCTCGTGCCAGGAGCCATGCCCTGGAGCAGCCTGGTGACCTCCCCAACCAGCGCTCCAGGGCCACTGGCCACCAGTGACAGCCCCAACAACAGAGAGCACCCACCTCTGGCATCAGCAAGTGCAAACCAGCACATTATGCCCCTCTCCTTCCCCTGGACAGGGCACAGAGGGGAATTCTTGGACACACAGGACCTCCCTGAGCACCCCTGGGACAGATGCTGACCCGCCTGCCCATCCCACAACCCAGCCAGCTGTGGGGCACAGGGGAATAAAAGGGCCAAGAATTGGCTCCCATCTTTTGGGGGAAAACCCAGAGTACCTTGAGCTGTGCTGATGTGGCTCTGCCAGCACACTGCATCCGTGCTTGCTCCACGGAGAGGTTTGGGTTTGGACCTGGGTCCTGAGGGCTTCCAGTCAACCAAGGGAGAGTTTCTGTCTGCTTCATTCTTTCAAGGTGCACCGATTTTCCTGGGTTTTGCTCCAGCAGGCAAGGCTGAGGCCAGCTGGAGCGGGCTCATTCCCACCTGGGATGCTCTGGGTCTGCTTTACCTGGGAGGGACAAATGGGTTGGGGAACCACTGAGCACCAGCAAACCCATGGGGCTGCAGTGGATGTGTTCATCAGTGTCCTGGGACATCCGACCGTGCCCAGGGAAAGCACATTGGGATTACTCTCCTCTACCCCCAGGAATTTCTCCCACCGGCTCCCCTTCTCCCCCTCAGCCTCCCTGAGCATCTCTCCTCTCTGCTCCCATCCAGCACCACAGCGTTTCATTCCTGAAGAGTTAATGATTCAGACAACAAAGGAGCTGTTTCAGACCCCTTGGGCCTCGCCATAGGAAACCAGAAGTAATAACGGTTGGGATCGCTTTAGGGTTTTTTCTAATACCAATATGAAATAAATTGAAAAATTACCCATAAAATGCAGGTTTTCAGCATCTGGCTCAGCCTTACTTTCCATAAACAGCCAAGCCTGCAACACGGCGTCCCCATCACAGATCCGCGTGGGCTGGGGGGGGCCCGTGTGGGCACGAGCATGCTGGTGCCATCCCGGCACAGGACCGGAGAAAAATATGGATATGGGAATAGCATTGGAGATACTTGAGTATCTCCGAATCATGGCTGCAGGCGGCTGCACTGGTGTTTGCGGGGGCTGCCGGTGATGGATGGCTGTAGCTGGGGGGAACTGTGGGTGCCCGGCTGGGCTGGCACCCTGGCAGGGCTCATGGTAGCTCCTTGTTCCGCGGCGGGGCCAGCCCAGCTCCGCAGGAGCTGATTGAGAATTTTCATTGTCCAGACCTGGAAGGAAAATGCTGTGCAAGGGCCAGGGAAGCGCCTCGTCCCCGGTCACGCTTTCCAGCTGCTGGCACGAGCGAGTGGATGTCGGAGCGAGCCCTGCCAGCCTAAGCACCCTCGCAGGAGGAGTGTGCTAATTAGGTGGCTCTCATTAACACTGGGTCCTTGGGGACGGCACACAGTAATTTGCTCAGCTCATCACTGGGCTGTGCAATAGCATGGAGGCCTTGCCAAGGCCAGCAAAGCTACCAGTCCGGCTCCTTGCCGGTGGGTGCTGGGTGCCCCTGAGGGAGCAGAGAAATCCTTTTATTTGCCTTAATTTGGCTACTTATGACTACTCCTCTGAAAATTGCAGTGGGAAGGGATGATGTGTTGTCTGCTATTTAATCAGGCGCCTGTTGCCCCTCTGTTGTGCCAGGAAGCATTTTGGGGGGCTGCGGGGGGCGGGGAGCTTGGCTGGCGGTGCTGGGACGGCAACGGCGGTGACTCACGGGTGATGCCGGGGAGAAGCAAGGCAGAGCCCGCGGGTGCCGCTGGCAGCTCCCAGCTCCCTCACGCAGCCCCGCTCCTCGCCAGCGCAGAGGGAATGAAATGTTCCTCCTCCGCCTTCCAAAGCACCAGGGAGAAAGTGTCCAGGAAGATAATTCGGAAAGTTTGTTTGACACTTGAGCATGCTTTCATCTTTGGAAAAATCTTGGTGACCCTCCAAGGCAGCACTGCCTCCTTCCCAGCACGGCTGGCGTCCTGGGGCACACGCCCGTGGCACCACCCCAGCGGCTACTTTCGGGATGCCCGGGGCTCCGGAGGGGACGACGTGACCCCAGCGGGGCCACAGGTCAGCCAGGGATGTTGGCACGGGGATGCTGGCACAGGGATGCTGGCACAGGGATGTAGGCACCAGGGATGCTCCTGGCCAAGGCAGCAAAGCGAAAATGAAACGGCTGGAGCTGGCTGGCAGCGGTGGGAAGGAGGCAGCAAGGGGCAGTGGGATGGAGGGAGCCCCCGGACGAAGGCAGGGTTTTCTCCCCAGGTGCAATGAGCCTCCCGCAGCCGCGAGGGCTGGAGCGGCCGCCGGGAGAGATATCTTCTCCAGAGCAGGGGCCCTCGTGCATCCCAGGCGATGAATGTGGGTTTGATCAGGGGAGGGTTTGAGCGGATGGTAGTGGATAAGGAAGAAAAATATTTGGCATTCCTCTCCCATCATAACAAGCCCAGATGCTTGGACGGTGGCAGCCCACTTCCCACAGGAATGGAAAGTCACAGCCGCTCCCCACGCCAGCTCGGCAGAGGCCTTTCCCCCGCGCTTATGAAATGCCGGCTCCACCTAATGCTGCACCGCGGCCCTTGCTGGGCATCCTGCGGCATGGCCAGCTCCGTCGCCCAGGTCCCTGGTGGTGGCACTGCTCATGATCCCCGTCCTGGTGCAGGCAGAGCTCAGAGCTCAGCAGATGCACAGGGAAACTGGCTGGGAAAGGCCAAACTGCAGATTTACCGCCCAGGCAGGAGCCTGGTGTAACCAGGTGCTCCTGTCCGCATGCTGGCATATTGGGAACACCTGGGCCAGCACAGCCCCATGAGGGAGGAGAGCTCCGGCAAGGCCGGTGCCGTGGGGAGCCATAATGGGAAGCAGCTCCCGTTTGACCGGAGCTGGTGGGAGCAGCTGGGCTCTGCGTGGCAGGAGGCAATTCCAGCCTACCATGCCGGCACACGGAGCCGATGAGACCCCTCGGTGCCGGGATGCCGTCTGCTCTCCTAAGCAGGGAGGATGGCGTGAAGGCGGCTGACTTCAGCGCTGGCGTCAGCCAAGCGTGCCGAGCAGCCTGCGGCACGCTTGCGGCACGCTTGCTCTCCTCCTCCTCTTCCTCCTGCCAGGCTCCAGCTGGTCCTGGGTTTGTGCTGCCTGCCAGTCCCACTGCTCTCAGGGGGATCCGGCACCCCAAGAGGTTTAAGGTTTGCCTTGAGGTTTAAGGTTTGCCTTAAATCAAATCCTTCATCCCAGAGAGAGCACTGGAGCTCCCGCTCCTCTCTTGCCAGCGCGGCTCCTCTGGCTCGGCTCCGGCTCCAGCCGCCGGCGTGGCTGCGTAGCCTCTGAGCGCTTCGGCTGCCAAAACAGAAGCAAAGCCCAAAGTCAGAATTGGTGTCGAGCGGTGCCGAAGGCCGAGGAGCAGCAGGAGGAGGAGAGGGAGCCGGGAGGAGGAAAGGGAAGGCGAGCAGTGAGGTGGGAGGGAAGGTTTGGTGTCGAAACCGAATTCCTGGTCTGTGCCAGTGGAGCAGATTTCCAGTGTTTATTTTATCTCTTTAGTTGAACCCCTTTGAGGCAGAATATATTAAATGGCTTGACTTTATATAATGGAAA